AGCTCCTTCCCTCCTCCACTCAACCTCATCCTTCTTGTGTCTGCACTCGGTGTTAGCTCTCCTTAGTGAATATAAGAAAGTAGCCCAGAGGGGCAGCTCAGAGGGTGGCTGGGAACCTGTCTCCACATAACATTTCAGGACAAGATCCTAATTCTCTCAGACCTTTATTGTTTCACAGAGGGTAAATACGGTTCCTCTGATGCGGTGGCAATACAGTTCCTGGACATACGATAGGAAAGTGTTCTGGTTCCATTTCTGTCACTGTGATAAAACGTCCTGACCAAAAGCAACTTAAGGGAGAGAAAGATTACTTTAGCTCACAGTTCCAGTGCATCACTGAGGGGAAGCTGCAGTGGCAGGAGCTTCAGACAGCTGGCACATGATATCCACCCCCAAGAGCAGAGAGAAACGAATGCATGCATGCTCCACTGCTTATGTGTTTGGGCTCAGCTCAGTTTATCCACTCATACATAGCTCAGTACTCATTGCCTAGGAATGGTGCTGCCTACAGTGGGCTGGGTTCCCCACATCAGTTAATATAACTAGGACAATCCCCCATAGACACGCCCACGGACCAACTTATTGGACAGTCCCTCAAAGGGATTCTCTTTCCAGGTGATTCTACATGAGTCAAATTGACAAGTAAAGCCAACCCTCATGGGAAGTAAGTTATGCTTGGATATAATAATGATGATGATAATTATCAAATGATGATAATGATAATGCACGGAAACTACCGACTTGATTCTAGGTGGTCCTAGCCCGGAAGTCTCAGTCTGTGTGGACCATATGGTGGACGAGGACTGGCATGCCCATGGTCACTGAGGAAAGGCTGCTGGTTTTGACCTCGAGGAGCCCTGTCTATTGTCCTGCCCTAGGACAGTCTCTGTCATGCCTACCCAACGGAGCCTCTCAGGAAGCTTTGTTTTTATCTATTCGATTCACAGCAGGGCCAGCTACAGGCTCATCCTTTGATATGGTCAGTCTGACTGTTGATGGACAGTGTTGTGCAGAAGTGAGCACTTCCCTAGCTTCATGCAGTGATCGCGGTCCTTCCATTTTGGTGGATAACTTTCAGGCCTGCACTCCTGCCTTTCTCTGGCATTGCTGACTTCTCCCTAGACTGTTCAGATGAAGTAAGTAAAACCTCCAGTCATGCTTTCTTACATCATCTTTTGTAAACTCTATGAACGAGTCAGCAATGCCTTGCCCAGTTGGTTCTCAGAGCCTGTTTGGCGTGTATTTGTGTGTCGTGTGTGCGCCATGTGTTTGTCATGTGTGTGCTACATGTGTCATGTGTGTCACGTGTCCGTGCTCTGTGTGTCATGTCTTGTCACGTGCTTGTTAGGTGCGTACCATGTGTGTGCCATGTATTTGTCATGAGCGTCACACGCGTCATATGCCATGTGTTTGTCATGTGTGTGCCATGCTTGTGTCATGTGTGTCGTGTGCTTGTCATGTGTGTCGTGTGTGTCATGCATGTCATGTGTTTGCAATGTGTGTCATGCGGGCACCATGTGTCTGCCATACACGCGTCACATATTTGTCATGTGCGGCATACGTGTGCCATGTGTTTGTCATGTGCATGCCATGTGCTGCGCATTTGTCATTGCATGTCACACACGTGCCATGTGTTTGTCATGTATGGCATGTGTTCATCATGCGTGCGCCATGTGTGTCATGCATGCCATGTGTTTGTCACGCGTATCATGTGTGTGTCCTGTGTTTATCATGTGTGTCATGTGTCCATCATGCGCACACCATGTGTGCTGTGTGCCGTGTGTGTCATGTGTGTGCTGCATGTATTGTGCATTTGTCAGGCGTTTGTCGTGTGTTTGTCATGTGTGTGTCTATGGTGATGGAGATTAAGCTGAACAGAAGGACTGAACGAATGAAACTGTGACATGTTTTCTGAGGGAGGAGAGGTTGTGCCCTGTCTCTACTTCCCTGCTCCCTGAAAAAGCCAGGAGAGGCTGGGGTGTGGCTCCGTGACTGAGCGCTTGCTTAGCATGCATGGAGCCCTGGGCTTAATCGCTGATACTGTTCGTCTCCAAAGTAAGTTTGTCACTATTTAGGATATATTCTGTTTAATTTAATTTTATTTTGTGTGTATGGGTGTTTTGCCTGCATGTATGCTTGTGTACCACATGTGGATCAAGTATCTACAGAGGTCAGAAGAGGGTGTCAGATCCCCTGGAACGGGAGATGCCATGTGGGGGCTGGGAATAGAGCCCAGGTCATCGGCAAGAGTGGCGAGAGTGTCCTTAACCACTGAGCTACGTTCCCCCGTCCTCTAGTCTCTTTCAATGGGAAAACGTGTACATATCTATGGGAAGGCAAAATGATGCTTTGGAATATTTGTACACTGTGCTAATTCACATGCCTTACCTTACACATTTACCAGTTATCTGTGGTCTAGTAATACAATTTTGAGTTGACAGTGGCATCTGTAAGATGCAGGCAGTCTTGCGTCTAAGAAATGACAGCTCATCTCTTCTATTCTTCATAAACCCTTAGGAATTTCATTTCTGTTTCCATTTATAAATAAGAAAATCGAGGCTCAAAGGCAGAGAGTAGCCCACTCACACACACACACAGCTAACAAAACTCGGACCTGGGATTTGAACTCGGGCTAAGATCAGCTCCCAGCCCACGGTCTTAGCTGACTCCATAGCCAGCACTCGGGAATGCTCAGCTTTTCCTGCCTGAGTTCTTCCTTGCATTTGACTTTCCAAATTGTTAAAATTTAGAGGGATTAAAGAAAAGGGAAGGGTTCTGTAATGATTCAGCCACACAACATGGCTGACCCTTCCAGGTTCCAGGGCCACACGTGCGTGGACAAGCCCTCAGGCAGAAGTACCTAATGGCCCTGGGAATCTTAAAGGATCCCACATGACCCACATGCAGCATGGTTGCATTATCTATGTACGATGCAGCTGCGTGAGCCTTTGTGTGCATGCGTGAGCTCTGTCATCTGCACATGACATAACCATGCCATCCCCCTGTGCACATGCACTAGGCAGCCCTTAAAAGCTGGAGGGGCCATCTTCAGTTTTCTCTCTCTCTCCCTCTCCCCCACCCCTTCACCAGGCCTGTACACCTGCCCCCCCCCCCAATAAACTCCTAATGCATGTTCCGTGTTTCCTTCCCACTCGCACCAGGTAATTTCAGGTACCCAAACAAAGGGTTGTATCCCAAAGATAACTGGATCAGAGGGCTTAGGAGCAATCTGTGGATTTTGTGATTTGCTCTACAGATAAATATCATGCAAGTGCCAAAGAGCTTCTGGAACCAGTTCGATGCCATCTGACTGCCTGTGTGGGTGTTCGGGTGACTGGTTAGATTCTTGTTAAATAGGCTGTGGGCATGTGTTACTACTAACGACAGACACACTGTTCTAATTCAGCCTGCTACTGTAAAGATGGTGTCTGGGGATAAGAACGGTTCATCCAGGTTCCCCAGAGGACTGGGGCTTGAGTCCTGAAACCTTGAGCAAAGACAGAGTGATGCTGTCCAGGCCACACCAGAAGGAAATATAGTCACGTGTTCACTGTGATCAGGGAATTGTGCCGTAGTCAAAGATTTTAATTTTCTTATGCTTTGCTATGATAGAAAAGCCATATGCTGTGTTTGATATACACATCTGTTTGAGCTGAAAGAAAAAGGAACATTTGTCTTAGCCTGCCAGTGAGGAGAGGGCTTGGATGCCACCTGTCACCTCCTCTTACGTGGCTCACAGTGAGAGAAGACAATAGAAGTCACAGATTGGATGTAAAGTAAAATCTGTAGAAACCCGAGAGCTGGCAGGTGTCCCAAATATTTATTAAAGGTGCCCAGGGCTTGATTCTCACTAGTAGACCAAGTTGGCTTCAAACTTCTGATAATCCTTCATCAGGCTCTGGGGTGCTGGGTTTACAATGTGAACCACCACACCTGGTTTAGAGCCAGATTTCACTTGGCGATACCCAGGCTTAGATTTAAAGTCAGTTTTACTTGAAGGTTGCAACCTTTTATTAAAGCAAACAGTACTCTTTTATGATGAGGAAGACAGACTCCATTGTGATGACTAAGGAAATTTAGATTGAAAGGAAACCGAGTCATAGTTCAGTATATGGTGTGCTCATGTGCGTGCGTGAGAGTGTGTGTGTGTGTGTGTCTGTGTGTGTGTGAGAGAGAGAGAGAGAGAGAGAGAGAGCGCACGCACGTGAATGTAGTCTAATTTTCACTTCTAAAAGTCCAAAGGAAAACTTTTGAGACAGCCCTAGGCACCCTTGACTTTACTCTCTTCACAATGACTCTTCAGCTTCAAGTCTGCCTTGGTGAACACCACCGCTGTAGCCAACAAGGCCTAACAACACAGCAAAGGTTTTATTCTCCCCCACCCCACCCTACCACCTCAGCCCAGAAAGCGTCTGGTCTGCTATGCGAAGTTGCTCCAGGCAGTGTCTGGTGACCTAGGCTGTTCCAGTGCGGTGGCTCTGGTATCCCCTAAGGCTTCTGAGACTTCTTCCTCTAGCTAATGAATAAAGGAGATAACGTGGGGTTGGGAGGTGGCTCCCTTGCTTCCCAGGCCTGAGGCCTGAGCTCACGCTCCAGTAGCCACATTTAAAATTAAAAACCAACAAACTAACAAACCAAAACAACAACAACAACAACAAAAAAAACCCGAGTAGTGATGGCAAATGCTTATAATCCCAGCACTGGGCCACAGCTGGGAGAGAGAGAGAGAGAGAGAGAGAGAGAGAGAGTTTGCTGCTTTTGAGGAGTGACACTTTAGGTTGACCTCCAGCCTTTGGATTTTAGGAGCTGGGTTAGGCTTGGAAGAGCCAGGCAACACCTTTATCTGGCTAAAACCAGTCAGAGAGTCTTTCCTGCTTCCTAGGCCGTAGGACGAGGAAGCTAGCCGAGGGAACCGAGCGCTAGGGTGTGGGGGCGGGGAGCACGGAGCCTGTCGGAAGCCACAAGCTCCTGCTCACTTGATCTTTTCAATGCACACTGACCTTAAGCGGTTAGTGTTATGGTCGGCTGTGACGCTCCACCAGGTCCCTGGCCAGATGAAGGCTGCTGCATCTCAGGCTGCTATTCTCAAAGCGGCCAGGTTCCCCGGGGCTGCTTTCCTCGGCCATAGGAAAAGCCATCTCTTCAGTTCTGCGTTATACAACTACGGGGCACCCGAGGGACAGCCCCGCGTGTTTGGGTGTCTCTTGTCCAACCACCATTCTACAGTCATACCAGAGACTCGCAGCTGACTTCACAGAAACATGACCAGCTTTGCTCTCTTCAAATGGCTCCAACACTATGCGTGGAGCCAGAGAAAGGCACCCCACACCCCACTCACAGTCCAATCCTTCACCCCAATCTGGGCGCTTGCTTTCCCCCCTTCTTAGATCGAGGAAAAGGTTACAGGCCCATCAGAGAAACCAAATAGATACCGCTGGTTCTGCCTGCCGCGGCAGATCTGAAATCCACCAGGGCAAATCTGAAATCCCTTGTTCAAGGTTCAGCAAGAGTCGTCTTGTTAATTCCTTGGAAGGTCTTTCAATGACTGATACAGATGGAGAAAGACACAAACGGGTGCATGAACATGGCAAATTCAAAATCTGTGGGTCCTAACACAGCCTAGCACACGAAGCAGCCCGGCGGAGGGTTGTGACTTGTCCCACGAAGGACACTGTGTTTGAAGCCGAGCACGAGACAGGCTCTGACACGAAGAGCCAAGGGAAAGAAAGCTCAGAAACACTCCTTCCGCTGCACAGAGCTTGCTGCTGATGGACGGGCTGGGCGGAGCCCTTGGCAGAGGCGCAGCTATTGATCCCGAAGTTCCCTGAGCTGGCTGCCTTGAAAGCATGGGTGTTGAGCCAAAACTGTCATCCCTGCTGGTCCTCACTTCCTCTTCTCTCTTCTGTTTGCGGCTTGCTGCCCACACAGGTTGGGGAGGGCCCGTTTGCCTACCATTCTACACAGAAGCAAGGCAAATATTTTAACCACAGTGAGGTCACTTCCTGACATTAATAGTTCCTTTGTTCATTTTGGAGCAGAAGGAACCCACCACCACCACCACCCCCCAGTTTTCCCCATAGATCTTAATTAGGCTTGCATAGGAAAATCATTTTTATGCGTTCCTTTCCCGTTTCACAAACATCATACGATGGTGCCGTTTCTCTAGGGGCCCAGATGACTTGGCGCAACAGGAGTGGGAAGAATGTCTCCCCAGCTGTCTTTGTTTTTATCCTTGATCTCTCGCTGTCCTCCCACACATCCACTCCCAAGAGGAAGATGCCCAGAGCCTGTCAGACATCCCGGTGGCACCTTTCCTAAACAACTTCTCAGCGCTGCCTTCTTGCTACATGGCAAATATATCACTCAGCAGCTGTTCCCTTTTCCTCACCTGTGTAATGAGGCTTGCGGATTATTATAAACTTGGTCCAAGGCCCAATTTCTAGTCATGAAATCCTGTCATCGTTGAATGAGGAAACATACTGTTGAAGGGCCAATATTATAATAAAACCCTGGCCTGGCAGCTCCCAGCAGTGGGGACTGACAAGGACGGGCCATGGCATCCGCAGTGGGGAGCAAGGAGGTTCAATGCCTTCAGCTTTATTGTCCCCAAGAGTGTTACCCCCCTTCATCCACCGTCCTAATGCTTTTGTGCCTGGGTCTGTGCACATTTATTAAGCGGCTTGTGTTTTTCCTTCCTTCCTCCATTTTATGCCCCTCTTCTTGCATGTGCTTATTCATCTGTACAGGGGCACAGTTACATGTGAGGGTGTGCGATGCCGGCTGAAGTAAGAGGATCACCTTGGATGTTGTCCTTGCGTGTTGTATTAGTTAATTTTCTCTTCGCTGTGACCACAAACCTGACAAGAGGAAACTCAAGGATGGAAGGGTTTGCTTTGGCTCACAGTCCAGGGGGGTACAGTCACCACGGTGGGGAAGGCACGCGGCAGGAGCATGAAGCATCTGACCACATTTATTCTTCAGACAACAACATGATGAACGCTTGTGCTCAACCAGCTGTCTCCTTCCTATTCAGCTTCGAACCCCAGCCTACTGAGTGGAACCCCTCACAGTAAGGATGGTTCTTCCTACCTTAATTAGCTCAAACTAGATTCAGCGGTTCTCAACCTGAGGGTCGCGATCCCACTGACAAACCTCTATCTTCAAAAGGACTTACATTATGATTTATAACAGTAGCAAAATTACAGTTATAAAGTAGCCATGAAAAACATGCTCTGAGTGGGGGTCACCACAACATGAGGAACTGGGCTAAAGGGTCGCAGTGTTAGGAGGGTGAGAACCACTGCTCTAGCAAGATCTTCTTAGGCACGCCCAGAAATCTGTCTCCTGGGTGATTCTGTGTCCAACCAAATTGACAAAAGAGATGTAGCATTACAGGCACCTTTCAAATTCTACTGGTGACAGGGTCTCTCATTGTCTGGGAACATTGACATCTAGGCTAGGCTGGCTGCCAGTAAGCCTTCAGGGACCCACCTGCCTCCACTTCCCATCATGCTGGCTCTATAAGCATGGGTCACCACATCTAGCTCTCTGTCCATGAATTCTGGGACCCCAAACCCGGGTCCTTATGTTTATGAGCTGAGTTCTTTACTGGTAGCCATCTCCCCAACTCAGGCAGGTCATCTCGAGATCAGTGCGAAGTTCTCATTTCAGACATTTCAAAATGCTGCCCATTCCAAGAAACTCAGAAAAATTAAGCATCAGCAACACAATAATTGTCTTCCCCTGCTCCATTACTTGGGGACTTTTCCACACCTTATAGCTCCGAAACTACAAGAGTTAGACAGACTTCATCCATTTCCACTTGGCCTCTGTCGGAGGAGCACCCACTTGTTGGTCCTGGCCGCCCGCCTAGCTTAGCCCCGAAATAACCACACAGAAACTGTATTGATTAAATCACTGCTTGGCTCATTAGCTTTAGCTTCTTATTGGCTCACTCTTATATTAGTTTAATCCCTTTTTATTAATTTGCATATTGCCACATGGCAGTGGCATCTGTTTCAGGAGGAGGATCCATGGCGTCTCTCTGACTCTGCTTTTTTTTTCTCCCAGCATTCAGTTCTGTCTTCCCCACCTACCTAAGTTCTGCCCTATCAACAGGCCAAGGCAGTTTCTTTATTCATCAACCAAGAAAAGCCACACACAGAGGAGACTCCCACACCAGCCTCTTTACCCATAACCGTGTAGACGCGACATTTTCTGGAGCACAAATGGTTGACAGAATCAAATCAGATTGGCACAGAAGACATGAAAGGATCTTTCAAGCTTGCATGTCTTGTTGGAACTATATCAAGCAGGATGTGGATAAACTGACTTAATAAAGAATTGAGTGTCTCATGGGAAAAGACGACGAGGTGATTCATATCTTCTACAATATCCAAGTCTTTTATATTCTAGAAAGAAAAGCAAAAGTGAAAGAAACATCTTGGGCCTCAGACCAACAGTAACACAAGCAGGAAAGCCCCGCTCTGAAATGAGTCGTGGCAATAACCCAACAATTGATTTCCTAGTATCAGGAAATTCACAGCAATGATGAGTTGCTGTCTCAGTGGTGATTCTAAATTGCTGCCTCTCAGTCATTTAGCTTTGCCAAGCTCAGTTCTTCTCTAACCCCAAATCATAGTGGTTAGAACCACAAGACATTATACTGTAACAGGAGAGGGGTGTGCCGCCACAGCGTTTCTCAGAATGTGTTCTGCCTGGAAACAAGCCCAATATATAGTGTTGAAGCTTCAGGAGGCCACGAGAATTTGCTTACAGCACATAGTATTGTACACACTACAATCTTGAGTGTTTATGATGGGTAATTGTACATTGAAGATTCTGAGACAGCTGGGCACGGTGGCGCACACTTTTGATCCCAGGCAAAGGCAGGTAGGTCTCTATGAGTTTGCATAACAAGATCCAGACTAGTCAAGGCTACGTGGCGAGGTCCTGTCACAATAAAAAAATAAATAGGAAAGGCAAGTAAAAAGACTCGGAGACACTGGGTACCGGGAAGACTCAGTTGTTAAAATGCCTAACTTACAAGCACAAAGAATAGGGTTTGCATCCTAGAACCCATGTAAAAACTAAATAAAATAAAAATCTAGGCACTGGAGAGACAGAGATGGGCAGATCCTGGGGTCACTTGCCAGCTAGCCTCACCTAACTGGCAAGCTTCAGGCCAGTGAGGAATTATGGCAAAAATAAATAAGTAAATGACCAATGAGAAGACAGATAGCACCTGCTGGATGACACTCTGTGTTTACCTCTGACCTCCATATGGATGTGCACATGTGGACACTTTCGGGCTTGTGAAACGGATGTGTGGGCAAGCCACAGAGCTACCAGAATCGTCACGTACCCTTCTTGTCACCAATACATCTTTCCTGCTCCTAAAAGATGTTCTTGATCATCTTCCCTAAGAGTCAATAATCATGTGCTGTGTAAGTGAGGTTTGGCAGGAACAAATCAGAAACACACACACGGGCGTCTTAGTCCAGAGTCTTACATAGGTTGGCAGCCCTGGAACAGAGCCACCATGACTGATGTGGGATAACTGTGGACCCGTTCCTAGAACTACAGGGATGTGGCATAGGCCAGGACACCCACAGGAGGATGAGAGCCCTGGAAGGCCAACCGATACTTCAGTGGCCACTCAGAGACTGGCATCTTTCTTGCAAACGCTGGATTTGAGGGATATTTATGGCATTCCTTATTACTTTTCAACTTATTTTCAACATTTTTTGAGTGCTTGCATAGTATGGGATGCATGCGTGTGTTCGATATGTGTATATGGGTGTTACTGTGTGTGAGTGCTCTTGCCGCCGTGCATGGGTGGAGTCCGAGGAACTTTGGGTGTCCTCTTTACCTTCCATCTTGTTTTCAGATGGGATTTCTTTACGGAATACGCCAGGCTAGCTGGCCCACAGTCTCCAGGGCGTCTCCTGTCTGCAGCTCCCCTCTCACCCTCAGAACACCGGGATTCCAGACAAACACCTCTGTGCCTGACTTGATTCTAGGGCTTCAGGGTGAGGCCCTGGAGTTTGGACAGCAGGAGCTTTACCCAGAGTCATCTCTCTAACCCTTGGTACTTTTAAAGGTGTCACAACCAGAACATAGTTTTTTACAAAACCCAATACTTTTGGAGGTTATAAAGATACCCAGGACAAAAACTTTGCACCAGGCACAGGTGTATTAAACAGGCTCCCAAGTCCTGATGGCAGCCAATGGGTGGCTACTCTGGCGTGGCCAGGTTCCCAAGCTGTGACAGCAGTGTGTGGCCAGGTGCTGATTGATGGCTTATCTGGGGACATGTTTTCTCTCCCACTCTGGGCTTCCACACCGTCTTTTTCTATCAGTCAGGCTGACAGTGTATCCTTACCTCGGGGACGAGAAACTACTTCAGAGAGTTGAGAAAGAAAAAAAAAAATGTGTGTTTTAATTCTCAAAAGCCCAAGCCTCAGACCAAAAGAAAGGTCCAGCAGAGGGACAATAGATGATAGGCACACCTAAAGGGACAGCCTTTACCTTGAACAGCTCCTCCCCCAAACTCACGTTTTTCACTGATGGGGAGCTTAGATTGGAGCAAGAGCGGGGCTGGGGGGGGGGGGGACATACTCGGAGGTCACAGGCAGGGATAGATGCTCTGCTAGTGACTCCAGGATTCAGAGAGAGCTAAAGTGAGGACAAGTGACAGAACCTAGAAGGCCGGGGCATCAGAGTATGGCGGAAGCTTGCGGAAGTGACAGGGTGGCAGAGGTGTCCGCCAGACTTACTGTCTTCTCCCTGGGAACAGCTGTGCCCCAGGGACGGCATTAAACTAGACAGAACAAAGAGAGCGGGGGACAGGGCAAACAAGGGTCTGTAAGCAATGAATCAACCACAATAAC